TACAGAGGACATAAAGATATTGAGTAGACACTTGGAGCAAAGCATTTAGAATTAGTAGAGGACATCTATGTTGGACATGTATTTTGGAGGCGTCCTACCCAATGATTTAAAACCCTGTGACTAGATGCGATTGCTAAGGGCATAAGAGAATACAGAAAAGAATAATCCGCTGACTAAGAACTGGAGATGTCACAATGTTATGGGGTTAGCCTGTACACACATCCAACAAACAATGCATTCCTGTTGAATAAGAAGTAATAGACCAAGTTGAAAATTAAATATGCTGAAATTGTTCAAGTGGTTCAAAGAAAGCCTAGGATTCATATAATGAGGAGAGATTATGAAACATAAACAGGTGGATATGATACAAAGAACCAGGTAGAAATCCTGTGAATGAGAAACACAACTATTAAAAACCTTGGCTGGGAATATAGCTTAGTGGCACAGTGCCTGCATGTGAGTTCAATTCCCCGTTAAAACAATAACAACAACAACAAAAAAACCCCTGCCTGTGAGTTCAGTTCCCAGTAAAAAAAAAAAAAAAAAAAAAAACCAAAAACAAAACAAACAAAAAACAAAACCTCAATGAATGGATTAAACACTAGACTGTACTAGACACAACAAAAGAGAAAATTAGTGAACTGGAAGGCAGAATGGAAGAAATCCACCATAATAAAGAAAAGTCTCCCAGGTGTTTCTATTAAGTGTTCTTTTGGAACAAGCTGCCCATTTTCTAGGCTCAGAATCACTGCCTTGAACTGTTAAGCTTTTGAATTAGAATGCAGAAATGGAACAAAACTCTTAACAAAAAAGGGTTAATTTATTTGTAGAATCAGAAAAAGGTTCAGTGGTGGGACTGAAGGTCTGGATTAATAAGACCTAACAAGTGTTGATAATGTAGTGTGTGCCTGTCCCTGTTCAAAGTGCTGTACATGGGTTGGGAGCAGGGAGGGGCTTGGAGGTAGGGGTAAAGACCAGGTGGTACCTCGGCAAGTTGAGTGACAGTAGCTTTTCCACACACTGGGTAGCGTTTTCTCTGATTTTTTCTTCTCTCTACTTTTTTGTTTAGTTTTCCAATCTTATTTTTTTATACAATGCTGGGGATTGAACCCAGAGCTTCACACATGCTAGCCACATGCTGTGCCACCAGGCCACACCCCAGTACTTTTCTTTCCTTTCAGTAGTTCCTAACCCCAGTCTCCTCTCCGTGATGTCAGTGTACCTTCTTTTTTTTTTTTTTTTTTTGTCTTTTTCATTTTTATCGGTACCGGGGATCGAACTCATGACCGCCTGCTTGCAACGCAGGTGCTTATGCCGCTGAGCTAAATCCCCAGCCCTAGTGTACCTTCTCTTGGGTTTCTGGGTCTACTCAGCAGTAAGTCAATTGTTTAGTGACTTTTTTCTATTTTTAAAATCAATTTGTGGTTGTTCTGGGACTAAACATTGTAAGAGCAGGGATACACACATTGATTAGACATGGAGCTAAGCATCTTACTGGAGACAAATATACAATCCCCTCATTTCAATATAGGTGTGATGAGTGTCACCACAAGGACTATGACAGGTGCCCAGTAAGCATGACATCCTGTGCGCAATGCCCACAGAAAAGAAGCAGAATTAAGTACACGAAAAATGGGAAGGGAATTGGCATCCTAGACAATGGGAATAGTGCGATCCTGGGCATGGAAATCTGGAAATTCAGTGGCCACGTGGAAGCATGGGAAACATTTAAGTTGTAGCTAAATGGGCCAGCTGGGGTGGCTCTGCATTGCACTGGGGTACAGTTGAAATGTCTTAGCTCTCCTTAGGTTGTCTTGCATGATTTGACCCGTCTCGTCTCTTACCGTCACCTGTACCCCCCCTTCTTTTCTTCTATCATTCTGAATTACCTGCAGTGGCCTGCATAGAGCTTAGCGCACTGCTGGCATTTGACACATGGTTGTTGAACGAGCGGCAGAAGAAAAGCATGGGAAATGCAAGGAATGGATGAGCCATGGATGACTCTGCTTAGAGTAGAAACTGAGGTACCTGCACCTAGAAAAGGCTACATCACCTCAGAGGACTCAGACACTAGATACAGTGCAGAGTTCAGTTTGCGGGTGTCTTAGTTAACTTCTCAGAGACACAATACCTGGTACCCACCAATTAACGGAAGTGGGGTTTATATAGCTCACATGTTCTAGAAGTTTCAGTCCATACTCTGCTGGCTCTAAGGCAGAAAGGGCATGGGAGACTTTGGGCAGGGATCAGCTCATGAGGGTGCTAAGTTCTTCAGTGGATTAGTTCTTTGATGAGTTCATAGCCAAATGGGATATTAGGAGGTGGGGCAGATGAAAGAGTGGGTCATGGGTGTGGGGTCTTGGGAACTGTGTCTTCCGTCTGGCCCTTCCTCCCTGTCTCTGTGTTTGCGGGGTGCTAGGAGATGAGCAGCTTTCCTCTATCATGCCCTCTGCCGTGATGTTTCTGCCTCCCTGCAGGCCTACAAACAACAAAGGCAAATGACCATGGACTGAAGCATCTGATACCATGAACACAAACAAGTATTTCTGCTTTTATATTATTATCCTCAGGTATTTTGTCACAGCAATGAAAAGCTAACATATACACTAATTCTTATCATTCTCATGGTATCTTCTCAGAAAGCTCAGAATAAGAGATTTGCTGTAGATAATTTACTAGTAAAAGTCAAGACTAAGACATGCATTTAGGTTTTTTAATTCCAATATGGGTTTTCTGAATCAGGCACAGCCCACCATGAAGGAGCTGCTCCAGGGCTGGCTCCCTATGACATGGCCCAGGTTCTGGAAGAGTCTTTCCTGGAAGTTCCTACATATGTGGAACAGAAGGGACAGTAAGTGTCCCTTATCCTAAAGCTTTGGGTTCAGCATTCCACTTGAGCAGATTGGTACCAACGTCCCAGATTAGTACAAGTCAAATCTTAGACCTATATAGTGAACAAGCCCCAGAGAGTTCTGGGTTGGCAGTACCAGGGCACAGAAGCTGCCAGGCAGGTGGAGATCAGCACCATGTGAGCTGGTGCTGCCAGTTCCCACCTGCCTTTTCCTCTTTGCATCATGATGGTTCTTTGTCACCGACCATGAAGCCCACCTTCCCACCAACCTGCATTGAGGCAGCACCTGCAGTGAGACTGGGAACAATGCCATGGAGCAATTATAAGTTATTCCAAAGAAAGACCGAGCTCTTGCCCTTTCCTTTAAGATAAGCAGATCCATACTTGCCCCTACCCCATACTCCTCGTGTATATGGCTGACTTGAAGCTGCAGCCATTGAGTGCTGGCCGACTGTACCTGATCTCCAAAGATCTAGAGCAGGAAAACAGCTGCTGCACTATTTACCCAGGAAACCTGAAAAGCTAAGTGCTCACAGAAATCTCTACATGAATGTTCATTGCAGCTTTATTGGTAAAAGTGTGAGACACTGCATTGCCCTCTGGCAGGCAACTAAATGATGGAACACTACTCAGCAAAGAAAAAGTAATGAGCCACTGATTTAATCACAGCCTGGGTGAACCCCAAGGACATTACATAACTAAATAAATAAAACTCAATAGGATATATATCCTGTAACTTCCCACTCTTTGTGGTACAGGGAATTGAACCCAAGATCTTTGCTGGGGACCACAAATTTGCAATGGCTAATTTTACTTCCCTAAGGGAAGGACAGAGGCTTGGGATTTCTGGTACCATCCTTTTGAGGTGACCCATTATCCCCTTAGGGGTGGGCCATCCTATCCCACCTGCTAAGACCAAGACCACTAAGACTAAATCTAGACTACTAAGACTAAAAGTGCTCCAAGGCAAGACCTTCCCCCGCATAAGACGGCTGCTGCCCTCTGAGTCATCTGATAATCCCCTCAGCCAGGAAATGCCAAGGTTCTGGCTGCCTCATGGCCTTCTGTTCCCTGTGAACTGGTCATCCAGGATCCCCGCTGTACCACCCTTTTGCTCTCTCTCACTGACCGCTGTAACACCTGGCATGAATTGAAGCTCACTGCAAGGGTCTTCACAACCTTCACACTGAGCTACAATCCCCAGCCCATTTTTTCATTTGGAGACAGGGTCTCCAAATTGCCCGGCTGGCCTTGAATCCTCCTCAGCCTCCCAAGCCACTGGCATTTCAGTCATGTGCCACGGTGCCGAGTTTGTGTAATCCCAAGTGTAAGACACTGTGGTAAAGAATCCACGGTAGGGAACAGGGAACAGGGTGGTGGTTACCAAGGGTGGGGAAGGTTTCACTAAAAAGGGACAGCGTGAGGGAGTCTTTTTGAGGTGATGGGAATTTGGGGTATCCGCATGACTCTGTGCACTTGATACAAGATTCATAGAACTGTGCCTCAAAGAGTGAACGTCATCATATGTCAGTGTAAGAAAACCAGTAAACCACTGTTTAAAACTCGCAGTGGTGCGAGGCAGGGAAGCAGATGACAGATGCGCTAACTTCTGAGATTCTTCCTAGTGCGAAATGGGTCACTTCATTCAGTAGCGGATGACTCCAGCATGTAAAGGGCAGAGCTGAAAGGATGTCTGACCACTGCGCTGCTTCTAAGAAATCACAGAGTGAGTGTCAGAACCACGGTGAGCCAGCATCTGAGATGAGCAGAGGGAGGGAATATCTACAGAATGCAGTTTTTGGAGGATCCTGCCGGAAGAGGCCACCCCACTTACTGCCAGCGTGACTGCCCCTGGCTCTCTCTGACACTTCCTGGGATGATGCTTCCCATCAGTTCTCATCAGGGGAGCCGTGGCTTTGTGGTTGGCTCGTCTTTTTCTGGGAAGGTCACTGTACACCATGCTGAGCATCTGCTGACCGTGCGTCTTTCCCTGTCAAGTGTGTCTTGCTAATGATCACCCCCCTGAAACCTGGGTGATGGATGGTTTTGCCTCTCACCTTGCTTGTGTGGAAAGGAAGATAAAGGCTTGCAGGGTTCTGCTGTGGTCTAAATTATCCTGGTTCTAAAGAAGAACCACACTGAAGACCTATTTTGCTCATAAACAACTTTTATTTTTGTTCTCAGTATGTGCCCTTGACGATTCCAAAATGTTGGGAGTTTCTGATTCTCCTGGGACCACGGGCAGAGGCACTGCATGGAGACACTAGACCTCCGTCCCTACTCTCTCCCAAGGAGCTTGGTGGGAAGGCCTCAGAGAGGAAGCTGACAGTCACACCTATCCCAAGGTGGGTGATACAGTGAGCAGAGAATTAGTAAACACAGACTCAGTCTTAGAGGGCTTCAAATATACATATTCTATATATATAACCTGTTATATAGGATTGCCATGTATTGGTTTCCTTGTGATTGGTAATTAAAAGTACAAATGATAAAGATGCTGCACACTGCTGATTCCCCCTTCTCAGCCCCCCTCCCTCCCCAACATAAATAACGTCACAAAGGCCAGGAGACCCTAAGAGTTTTTGCTGTTGTAAATATTTTGATTTTAAAATCAGTTTTCCCCTCCTCCCCTGCAAACTACCTCTGAGAGCGCGTAACACAGCAGCATGGAATGGACAGGCCCGGGGAAAGGGGAGAGCTGGTGGGCTTGGCGCTCCCCCTGCCCGCGTGGGCTGCAACAGAAGCAGAGAATGTGAAGTGTGGCTTTGGCATCCTCTAGGGAGGAGCTGGCTGGACCACAGAGAGAAGCCCTAAAGGCCTCGAGGCTTTGGAAACAAACCAAAGCTCCAGAAATGTCTTGGCTCAGTATTTACACTGTATCTGTAAGCTGCGTTTTCCTTTTTAAGAAATCTGTGTTTCTGAAGGTGCCTCTTTTGAGGCCAGCTGGGGAAAAGGAGGAACTGAAAATCACACCAGGCGCACTCCCACATTTGTCCAAGTCCTGTTCCTCGTCTTAGCCATTCTCATGCGCCGTCAGGAGGAGATGCTGATGGCTGGGTTCGCGGCAAACTCTGCTGAGAGCGTGAGGCAAGGGAAGACAACAGCAGTGCACTACGGAGAACGCCGTCCCTTCTTGAGCATTAAGTGACACTGAATAGTCTGGATGCGGTTCTTGGCTGGGACAAACTCGGGCTGCAGTTTCAGGGTCGACTCGTACCACACCAGCGCTTTCTCAAACTCCTCCTGCGAGGGCCAACGGCACATGTGAGACGGACGGACGGCACGCAGGGCGGCCTGAACAGGAGCTTGCCCTCTTCTGCAGGGTAAGTGGCCCTGGGCTAGTGTCAGCCCCCAGTGTCACCTCAGAGAGTCCTGAGGTGGGCAGAAGCCCAGAAGCATGCAGAAGGGTGCAGATCAGCTTTTACAAAGGTGAGCCCCAGCAGTGTGAGTGCTGGTGACAGTAGGGGGAACTAACATTACCAAGGGCTTGAAATGTGCCAAGCACCCATCAAGCTAGGTGCTTCCGGAATTAACCCTTGCAGACATCTCCAGAATCAAGCCTGGTGAAAGCTCATTATGCATCTGCCTAGATTTCGTACTATAGCTGGAAAGATGGAAGTCAAGTCAGGTACCTTCCCTTACACTCGTAAATTTTAAAGGTTTTTAGTTCTCTCTAGTATTTAACAAAACCAACAGGGTTTGAAAGTGACTGCCACCACAATGAAGGTGTTAATTATTCTACTCGCAAGGATCCTGAAGGAAGAGCCTGGACCAACTGGTTAAGCGATTCTGTCTAGCCCGGTGAGAGACACAATCTTCATTTACAGCAGCAAATCTCCCACCTACTGGGGACAAAAATAGATTCCTCAATTTTAGGAAGCAGAAAGGAAAATCTGCACATTCAGCACTACTAACCTGGCCAGATTATACTTCCTGCCTCTGAAGTCAAGGACGATGCACAAAGCTTCTAGCGCAGGCCTGCCCATTCTATTAGCTGTTACTGAAAATACGGGGTATAGTCCCATGTGTGACTCCATGCTTTAAGTGGATGGGACGATTCTCATGTCAAATTCAGTTATGACAGATTTAGGGGGCCCTGCAGGGATCTGCGTTCTGAAATGGGTCTTTGTTTTTGCCCAGGATGAGGAACCTGGATGATAGCTTTTCCAATTTCTCTGTAAAGTGCATCTGCGAAACTACTGGGATTTCATTGTTCTTGAAAATTTGATGAGCACCTACTAAGTGCCCAACAGGGTAAGGTTCTAGGAACAGAAGGTGATGAGGAGTTTAAAGGAGACACAGGATTAACAAAAGCCTGTAAATTAACAGTGTCAAGCGAGAGCAATGTCAGTACCTCCCCCAGGCTGGCGGAAGAGGTGTGAGTGCCTGTCTACACAGTGTTAGCTGAGGCTGTCTGCAACAGGCAGTGTCTCCAGAAATGCAGAGGTGCATCTGATGCTTCTACCAGTATCACACTCATGATGAGGAACTCCCAAGCTGCAAACATTTAGACAAATTCCATATGTTGCTAAAAAAAGGCAAACTCTCAAACCTCGTCTCATAAAATTTATGCTCGGTGAAGCTGGCTGTTTCAGACATCAAACTTCTAGGAAAAGGGAGGACCGTGACATACTCAGACAAGTTCTGAGATCACGGATGTGCTGCGGTGGGGTTGGAGGGATGAGCTCATACCCCAGTCTCACCATGGCCACGTAGACGTTGCCCAGCGTGAAGTGGTTCACGGCGAAGTGCGGCGCGATCTCTACTGCCATGGTGGCCACTATGACGGCATCGTTCCAGAGCTTGGCGTTGTGTAAGATGTTGGCCAGGCTGATCAGGGGCACATCCTGAAGCAAGGAGGGGAGTGGGAAGAGCGAACAGTGAGCTTCTGCTTTGGGTGTTTTGGTCATAAAGAATGCAGTGTGTGCTTCTTGGTAAATGCCAGAGAAGTGCAATTTCCAGAGCTAACCTGCTGCTCGCTACTGGGCTGTGATGGGAGACCAAAATAGGAGTTTGCACCAGAATACAAATTAATTACTCCTTTCACTGACAAAGCTGTGCCTCAAATAAAACAAAACAAAATGAAAACAGTTTCCGTAAACAATCTGCCAAGTGATGTAGCTGATTTATTCTCCTGCGAGCTCTTGTCTTACTGCAGACAGACATCTACCCACAGAGCACACTTTGAGTGGTGCTGTAACAGGCACCTTGCTTTGTGCAAGGGCGACTGTATCATCCAGAGCAGGGGCTGGCAAACTGCCACAGGCCAAATCCAGGCTCCTTCCTGTTTCTGTCAAGTTTGACTAGAACACTATCGTCTGTATTTGGTCTGTATTTCTAGTACAGTCCTCATATCACGGTGGCAGAATCAACTGATTGCAACAGAGATTATGCAGCCTGCAGCATCTTACCATTTCTAGCTGGCTCTTTATGGAAAGTTTGCCAAACCCTGATGGAAATCCTTGGCCCTTCACCACTGCCTCATCGTAAAGAGCTCAGAATGAGGGATGGAACGAGCAGCAACAGTATCACGATTTCTTCCCCTTTAAACATGTTACCTGAGCAACTGCTGGCTGTACCACACTGTGCTGGGTTCTATAAGAGACATAAAAGAAAAAAAGGGACCCATCTCTGTCCTTTCAGGACATCCATAGAGTACGCTTAGATGGATAAGGCCTCAGAAGTTCAGTAACTCACTTAAGGTCAGAGAGCTAGGAGCAAGCAGAGCTTTATAACCCAGCAATGCCCTGCAGTAAAGCCTGAGCTCCCTGCAGCTTTCCATGAACTTCCTGGACAAACAAAAAAGGCAAAGGCCACATCTTAGGAAGCACGAGATCTGGGTTAACGCAGAACTAAGCACATGGGGACACAGACTGTGGTACAGTCTCAGCCACTGTCACAATAACTGACCAGTCTTTTGGAAAAAGATCACTTATCACACGGGGTTGGCAGGCTGGTTTGTATGTGTGCGTAGGCCTGCCAGAGGGCAAGCACAGGGCTGAGGATGTGGCCTGCTGGTAGAGTGCTTGCCTGGCATGAATGAAACCTTGGATTCACTGGAAAAAGAGCATGCATGTGGGGGTGTTAGGTAAGGATCAGAAACTGGCTGAACTACATGAGGGTACAGCAATGTGCTTCTGTCTCGGACTCTGGAAGCAAACTTCAGTGAAGAATCTAAGAGGACTCCAGAGCTGGGCATGCTACTGCACCTTAATTCTACCATTCTGGAGGCTGGGGCAGGAGGATTGCAAGGTCCAGCCCAGCTTGGGCAGCTTAGTGAAATCCTTGTTCCAATCAATCAATCAGTCAAAGGCTAGGGGTGCAGCTCAGTGAACAGGCCCGGATTCAAGCTCCAGTACCAAAAGGAAAAAGAAAAAACCAGTGTTTCCAGCTTCGTAGGAGCAAGAAAACCCAGAAAGACCTGCAGGGTGGCGACCTGCTTAGGTACACGGACTCACTTTACAATTAGTGACACTGACTACAGCAGAAGAGGCACTACGTGAGGTGATGGGCCACAGAGATCTTGGTCTTCCCTCAGATCCACCTTGCCAGGGCAGGGCCACACTGCAGGGGACAGTTCACAGGCTTAATGTGACACAAGCCAGGTCCTCCGCTCTCCCACCCCATCCTGTCCATGCACACTGTCTCCCTGGCTGAGCCTCAGATAAGCCAGGGGGTGATGGCACGGAGTGCAGGGTGAAGTTCCACCCTGGGAGTCCCCTACTCACTTTCATTTGGTGCGGAGCATAATGCAGGGCCTGGCGCAGGCAGTCTATGGCCTTCTTTCCTTGGCCTTTCACTCGCCAGTAGAGGGCCGCCATGCTGGAAAGGACCCAGGACGTCTGGTTCTAGAAAAAAGGTGAGCCGGTGGGTGTCTCTTCAGTAACATAATCATTTATTACCAGCCTCGAGCTTAGTCACCGGTCACCACCACTTTCCTGCGTGTTTACTGGGTGCTGGCACTCTGCTGAGTACTTTCTTGGTGCTCTTGTTAATCCTATGAAGGATCCTAGGAGCTTTCTAATACTATGAAGCAGCCTTTTCATACATGAGAAAACTATGGTGTAGGGAGGGTAAGTCTCCTACCCAAGAACACTTAACTACTACTTAGCAGAACTGTATTTCTTTGCCAACAAATTTCTTTTTTTTTTTTTAATCGGTACTGGGGATCGAACTCACGACTGCCTGCTTGCAAGGCAAGTGCTTATGCCACTGAGCTAAATCCCCAGAACTGTATTTCTTGTTCATGCTGTTGCTCATACTAACTTTTTAAATAAGCAACTCACATTAGAAAACCAGGCAAGTCTACAAAGTACACAGAAAAGTTTTACTGACATCTTTGTCTCTACTGTGCGTAAGTAAATACTGTTTTTAGTTTATTTATCCTTCCAGGATTCATGCTTTGCACAAGCAAGTGCAAAATAGAATTATAGTCCAAACCTCCTTTAACAAGAGGTAACCTACTGTTTATATAAGGAATGACACTTAATAATACCCTGGAGGTTCATCCACTGATGTATGGGAAGCATCCTTCTTTGTTAACAGCTAACTGTATTTCTTTTATGGATGTCTCATTATTTATTTAACTTGATCCTTATTAATGAATAGTCTCCTCTCCTTAAATTTCTCCCTATTACAAACAATGCTGCACAAATAATCTTGTTCAGGTGTAATCTTAACATTTCTGCAAATGTGCTAGGGGACGTATTTTCAGATGTGGGCCTGCTATATCAAGAGGACACACACTTCATTTTGATGTCACACTGCTCTCCCAGACTGGTAACAATGTAATCCGCCAGAAATGTGTGTCTTCTTTTCCTCATACACAGGTCACAGAGTCCATTACTAATCTCTTGAACTTTTGCCAATGTGATAGGAGAAAAATATGATTTTAATCTGTACCTTCCTACTTCTGTGTGGAACTTACCACCCTTTCATGGTTTATAGCTTTTACATTTCACTTTTTATGAACTATCTGTTTAGTAATTTTTCTGAGGTCTTTATCCTGTTATTGGGGAAGAAAGCTCTTTATGTATTAGGAAGACAACTCCCTTGCTTGTGATTTGATATACAAATGTGTCCCCAGTTTGAAGTGTGCTTTTGGACTTAATAATGCTTTACGTGACGATGGTTATGATTTATTAATTTATCTCTGATGGCTTCTGAGTTTTGGCTATAATTAGAAGGCCTTTGTCACTCCAAGGTCACCAAGACATTTTATTGTTTTCTCTATTCCTCAGAACTTTTATGATTTCATTTTTCACACGTACCTCTTTGACCCATTTGTAAACCTGAGTCATTTGTAGGAGAATGGATGCACCTTGGGATCATGTTAAGTGAAATAAATCACACACACAAGTTTAAATATAGAATGGTTTCTCTTATATGAGAAATCCAAATTATAAATAAATAGCAAAATAAAAGATACTAGGAAATAGGGTTATAGATGTTTCTCAAATGGGAAGGAGATCAAGAGATGAAGGGAGGGAAGAGAGGAAAAGGAGATGAAAAAGGAATTAAGGTGACTATGAACACATACCAACTCTACACAAGGAACGTATGCGTTATATACTGCAAATGTGTACTAATAAAAACAAAAATAAATCATTGATCCATTTGGAATTTAACCTGATGTAAAGTGAAAGGTAACGCTCCAACTTACTATTTTTTCCAGATGGCTACTAAGTTGCTCCAATGAAAGTGGGTATGCTATCTTCACCATATACAAAATTCCATCACTCGATTTAAGTCTGACTAGGTCTATTTTGGATTCTTCTATATATTTTGCCTGCCACTTTTGATGGATGGTCTTTCATTCCCAGCTGTTACAGAAGGGGCATTCAGAAAATGTGCCATTTCCCTTCTCCTTTCTTTCCATCTAAGTTTTGGTAATTTCTCGATCGCAGACTGTCAGGGTATATACTATTTATACTCTGATCTGTCGCTATCTGCCTCACCTGCGTCAGTGTTGGCTTCAGTTACATGTACTCAGGGACTACTGACTATTAATTTGTGTGGTTTCCACAGTCATCTCCTGTTGGCTGAAGTTCATCTTCTAACAGTTTCCTTAAGAACACCTGGGGAACTGTATTCTCAGTCACTTGCAAAAGGTGAAGTGTATTCTCCCAAGATTCGTATTTTAAATCCCAAGCCCAGTTGTTCAGAATGCAACTGTACTTGGAGTTCTTTAAAGAGGAGAGTAAATGAAAATGAGGTTATGAGCACAGGCCTAATCCAGCACAACTGAACTTCTATGAAAGACATAAGAAGAGACAGACCAGGGGCCTGCGTGAATAGTGCAGGAAGAGGCAGCCAGAGTGGCCAGGCACGGGGAGGTCTTGTTGGAAACCAACCCTGCCAGAGCCGTGGTTCCACACTTGCAGCCTCCAGAACTGTAAGAGTCTGTGGTGGTTTTTTTATGGTCATTCTAGCAAAATGGGACACCATGTAAGTGCAAAACTTTGCTTGCCTTTATGCCTGAGATAGAGATTGGCTACAGCAATTTTTTTTTTTTTTTTTTTTTTTTTTTGGTATTGGGGATTAAACTCACAACCTGTGTTTGCCAGGCAGGCGCTTATGCTGCTGAGCTAATCCACAGCCCCTACAGCATATTTTTTCCTCAATCTGGTGGCATTTCTCTACTGAGTCACGGTGCAAGACACTGTCACAGAGCAACCTGAAGCTAGCCTGGTTTACCAGCCCCAACCCTTTCTTTTGGGTGGTGCTGGGAACTGAATCCACAGCCTCACAAATGCTAGGCAAGTGGTCTGCTACTGAGCTATTTCCCCATCCCAGTTCCTCCTTCTGAGGATCTTGACCTTTTTGATTGGCTTCCCAAAACGATCTCTGTTTTTTAAATAATTGTTTCTTAATGTCAATATCTGACACATAAAACATGTAATATATACCTAATTAGGTATGTATATAGACTAAATATATAATTCTATAACATGCATAATTATAGTATATAATTATATAAGCAAACATGATGATGTAAATATTTTATATGAAACATACACTGATGCTGTAAAGTTTAATGAATAGCCCAGCAATCACAACTTTCTGAGAGAAGACTGCATCTGTGCATACGCCCCTACACTACTCCATCCTCTTGCATGTTTTCCAGAGGCATGCACTGCTGTAAATATTGTCTTTATCATTCCATCACTCCTTTTAAACACAAGTCTACCACTTGCATACGTGGGTATTTGCTTTGACAATACACCAGTTTGTTTTTCTGAGCTTTGTAAAAATGGCATAAATTTCCTGCAGAAGATTTGAGTTGTTTCTTGCTTTTACATTTCCTGGTGCAAATAAATGGACAATTACTCTAATCTAGAGCTGATACCTAAGAGAATTGCTGGCTGAAAGGCTGTGCAAGTACTAAAAATCCAAGAGCCTGTCAGATTGTTTCCCAAAGGCAGTGTGCCAATGTACAATCCCACCAGCGCTGTTTAAAAGTGCCTCTTGATTCAGATACTCTTTCTATCCCTTTCTATTATGTGGGGGGCTAAAGTGGCATCTACCTGTGGTTTTATTCTTCACATCCTGGTTATTATGAGACTGACAGTTGTTTCTTGTGATTATGCCTCACATATATGTCTTTTATGCCACGTGATAATAAAGAACGTTTTTTTTCTTTTTTTGGTCTTTTTGAGACAGCATCTCACTATGCAGTTCAGGCTGGCCTTTAGCTCATTTTGCAGCCCAGGCTGGGCTGGCACTTGTAACAGTCCTTCTCCTAAATGCTATTTCTTTTTCTTCTTTATGGCCCTATTTGGGACTGAACACATGGCCTTGCACATGCTAGGGAAGTGCTCTACCACTGAGCTATAAACCCAGCCCCAAGGTTTTTATTCTGTTGCTTATCTTTCTCACCAATTTGTGTGTTCCCTATCTAATCTTCATGTAGGTTAACTATGTTATGTATTTTGTCTCATTTTGGTTTACTGCTCTTTACCTTAAACATTTTAAACTTTAGTGTAACTGAACGTAACATTCCCTTTTATATTTAGTGCTTCTTTGTCTATTTTAAGAGACCCATCCCTAGTCTGTGGCTAGGAGTATCATTTTTTATATTTTACTCTAATTTTAAAAATTTTGCTTGATTCTTAGTCCTGTATTCCTGTGGAGTTGTATTTGTGTAGAATTAAACTGAACCTGGCTAAGTGCCTGCCAATACTTATACAAGAATATCGTGTCTATTCCTTACCCTTCCTTATAAATTCAATGTTTACTTTTCAAGCATTATAAAAACCTTGTTGCATTTTTACGTAATTGCATTAACTCTGTAAATCAGACTGACAAGTTTATAGCATGTCTTCCTATCCGTGAGCATTTTATCTGTTTGGGTCTTCTAAAATGCATTTCAATCAAGTTTTACCACTTTCTACACACAAGTCTTGCTATTTTTTTTGGTGAATTTATTATTGAAAATGTTTTATTTTTGTAACAATGTAAACACATTTAAAATTATGTTTTGTTGCTGTAAAGAAATTCAACTTATTTTCAAGTCCTGACTTTATAGGTAGCTACCTTGACAATAATGTTACTATTTCTAAAAATTTGTCTTTAGGTTATTTTAGGTTTGCTATGTGAATAACAACAACATCCTGTCTGAAAACCATTTTTTCTTTCTAATCCTTAATGCCATTTCTTTTTATTGATTTACTGTATTTGTAAGGATTTCCAGTACAAGGTTGAAAAGAAGTATTAGTGGTCTATATTTTCTGATTTCTAAGAATATTTTTAATATTTTCTAATGAAGAACATCTTTAAAATTATACTGATCCTTTTAATCAGAGTAAGGATGTTCCTGTTAATTCTTAATTTGTGTTTGTCTTACATC